AACCATAAACTGAGGAAATGCTGTTCGCACAACATTTTGGCCACTAGGTGGAGCCGAGGAGCGTAGGAATTATGCTCCTCAGCTCCATCTAGTGGGGGAATATCGTGCAAATGGCAATTTTCCAGCGTGTGGCTGGGAGAACGATTGAAAAATCACCCCCTTAATGTTGAATAATCTTTGTAGCAATATCTGTTGAGTGTATAAATGAATGATTCCATAAACATTTGCTACTCTAAAAGGGCAAATTCAGTGCCCCACACAGACAGTCTGATGACACAATCTGCTCTATGATGACTAATCATGTTACATTCTGACTGTATATTCTCCTTTTAGACTTACCACAGCTCCGTAATTTGAGGACCTACCTAGCTAACCCAATAAATTATATTAAAGTCACATTTTTTAAAATCTATTTCAAATGCTGATGAAATTGCTTACAATTGATGCTTCTCATCGATGCTTAAAATGTAAGTTTCCTGCTGAATCAGTTGGTCAACTGAGCACTGGCCCTGATGTCCTGTTTTAGGGTGACTTCTTTCCCTTGTAGAGTTCTATGGAGCCACCCTTGTGTGTGCTATTAAGCTATGTGTGTCTCCACAAACATACAGGAGTAGCAAAAAATGCCACCAGCACACCAATAAGTAATTCAGCAAAAGCCCATTTAATGACACATTGACATTCAGTTACAACTGCAGGTTTACTTTTGTTCTGGTAAGGAGTGCAGCTGGTTATCTATTTCCACAAACATACAGGCACGGCAAGGCAAGGCATCCCTCACAGCTCCCCTTCCTCTTTCCTCCCTTCTCCAAGCTAGTAGATTAACAGTTGATGGAGTCTCCTCTGTCCCTTGTGATCATGTACTGGATAGGAGGTTCAGGTTAGCTGAGCTTTAAGAGTTCAATAATTCTTTATATTTGTATCTAGTCCAGTACATGTATGCAGTAAATAGCTAAATCTTAAAGCTGAACTCCAAGCAAACAGCCATATACACTGATGAAATACATAAATGGTAACTGTGTTATCTGACAGAGGATTTGTGTTTCTGTCCACTCTGAGATCTACACAGCTCTGCCACACAGTGCAAACCTTATGGCAGGGCAGGAGACCTGATTTTTCTCTGCTGCTTGTAAGGAACACTTACAGGTTGTGTCCCTACCCCAGTCTCTGATTGGACAGTGAAAAAGGAAGCAGCACACTGATGAGCTTATCTTTCTATCACTCTGCCCCCTTCTCCTATCAGCATGTTTCTTGCAGTACTACTGATTTACTTTGTGTGCTGTGTTTCCCTCCACTTGCCTGAGTTCTGCTGTACAGGTGATTGCAGGCAGATACCAAGTCAAGTTAGGTACTTATTTGCATTTAAATAATATGTTTAACGATGTATTAATAAAAATACAGCTTTATTAATATGTGTATTTTATATTTACCTTGAGTTTATCATTAAATTCACCACCTTTGTTATAGTCCAAATGTACAATCTCCTTTAGATCTGTCAATAATGTTTGTAGAATAGGAACTTGCAGGTATGGTGATCTAAAGGTGTTTGGACAATGCAGTCTCAGCTTTAAGGGCACTGATAATACAAAGAAATTAGTTAAAATTAATTTTAAAAATATAGATAGATATATAGAGAGATAATGAAGACACTAACCATACTTTAGTTGATGTAAGGTATGGCAAGGATGCCATATTGAGTGCAAGGGGCTTCCTATAATAGGACTCTATAGGCCGGGCCAGATTTACTCTCTCTGCTGCCCCAAGGACAGGTTCCTCAATGAGCCTCCTTCTCTGCCAACCCCCCCCCACCACCACACACACACAACAGGGATGCATGCAAGTCTCTCCAGGGCTGTGTGCGGGTCTCACGATGACTGTGTGCGGTCTCTATGGTGGGCTGTGCGGCCTCTATGGTGTGCTCTGCAGGGTTTATGGGGGGCTCTGCAGGATCCCTTTCCCTGTACACATGTGCTGCTTGGGTCAAATTTGTCATCTATCTGCAGGCTCCTATGTATTTCCCCTTACCCATGAAAGCCACGGTGTCGGATTTCTGGGTGTCCACCCGGTGGTGCTCAAACAGCAATTGCACCATCTTGCTGTGCCCATTGTGAATGGCGATGATGAACAGAGTGGAGCACTGCCCGCCATGCAAGATTCCTGAACCAAGCCCTCTGCCGCCTTATATATGTACGCTGACAGCCCCTCCAGTGCCATTCCCGGGACAACTGCTGCAGGACGTCTGCAGGTACCCACTTCCTGTCAGCTCTTTCGGAAACAGTAGGCAGCACTAGCATTCCAGGTGGACTTCGACTAACCTAAGCCCCCCCCTCCACTGGGCAAGTCTCGCAGCTGTCTGTGTCTTGTGGGGAATCCGCCCTGTCTATGGGGATGTTAGATATATCATCCGCCCAACATACACAGACTGAATGCCATTCACACTGTATTCTCACCACTAGATGGACCTGATGAGCAAAGGAATTTTCTATGCTCTTTTTGGCCAGCGTATGTCAGGGCAGATGATTTATCAATAATTTCTTATCAGTTTCTGTGCAAGCTTTTGGGAGAGGTTGTAAACCGCTAACATGATCACTTGGATGGTAATTCTGCTGTACATTCTATTGTATATGATAAAGACTGTTGCCATAGTTCCAAGAAAGAGACATTGCCATTTTTTAGGCCGATATAGACATTTATGACTTGCTGCCAGTTGAAATGGAAATATAATTTTTAAGAATGTTAAATTACAAAACAGCTTGTGTAGCCAGTGTATATATCAGTGTTAAAAGAAGCTGGAATTTTCCTATAAATTCTAATATTTTCTGCTCTGAACTTTTGCTATGCATACAAAATAGACCCTTCTAACCTCTTGCAGGAGTGATGTAAAAACTGCCGCATTAACATTCGAAACGGTTTTCAGCCCTGCATTGTAAAAGTTAATATATTTTAGTTAAAATATCATCTCGCTTCTCTCTATGCGTTATTGATTTCCCCCAGCTTGAATCAGCAAAGTCTTCCATGGCCTTCACACTAAATAAAGCCTTTGGCCAGAATGTTTATGAGTACTTTTAGCTGTATATATAAAGACAATTCATAAGCATGTGTAGACATCTTTACAATGCAATAAACACATTACTGAGAGTGCAAGAGACCTATAAATATCTACGCTCTTATTGAACGTTGCGGCCAAAAGTAATGACCTGAATATTTTAGGGTGATGCTGGTCAACTGGGAAATGCAAAAGTAAAGCACGATCACAATATTTTAGAGGTCAGAACCTACCTAAGCACATAGGACATCAGCAGAAGGTGAGAGGTTTCACAGTCTCAGCAAGAAGTGGAAAAGCCCTTAAAGTACAGAAAAGTCATACCACACAATAGTCATAATACTAAACATGCCTTGTACTTGAAATCCTAAAAAAAAAAACCTCTGTAAACACCTTTAATTTTTTTTTTATTAGTGGTTACATGGGCCATAAGTCCCCTCTTCTCTGCCCTGCTCTGCGAGAGCTGTGTGGGAAGACTCAAAGCAACCTTCAGTGGCCTGGAGCTGCTGTTCCTCAAGGTATGAAGGGCTGGTCCAGTGAATATATCAATGTTAGATTGCTGCATGTCAGCAGCAATCTGATTGCAGGGCCACAGGCACGCTGTGTATAGGCACGGCTGTCCTGTAGCTCCCAAGTGGGAAACAAAGATGCAAACTGACCATGCAAGGACGGATCTGCTTCCTTGGATAATGAGGTCAGAAACGTTTTAGTTTTATTATTTATTCTTATCTATGTCCTTGTTAGAGGGATTCACTCTCTATATTTGTTCTGATGACCACTGTCATTTCTAATGAAAGTGATGGAAAATCCAAATTTGAAGTTGTCATTGGAAAATAAATAGAGGGAAATATTGCAATGGAAACACTTGTTCTGGTGACAACTATCCAAAAAATGACATTCCTTTCACTTTGAAGAGATTTTTTCTTACGTGCTTTTGGGTCTACAGAGCAGAAAATAAAATATCCCCATTGGGATATAGATGGCCAGAAGATAAGTGACCAAGGATTTTAAACCATTCACTACTCTATCTAAAATAAAATAAAAATGCTTTGGCTTTAGATATACTTTGAGTGGTATAGTAGTCTCAATGGCAGGACTCTACATCTTTAGTAATGTCAGCCTTCGAAGGTTTATGGTTCTAGTGTATGGTTTAGTGAAGGTTTAGGAACTGAGCTTCATTAACAGTCAAATTTTTGGGGGTTAGATTGATATTTAGGTTCATCTTAAGTGGAAGGTTAAAGGGCTGAGTTATGTTAAGTGGTCTACAGCCAAACTTATAGACTTTAGAAGAGTTAATACTTATGCCAAATTTGTACTGCTGTTTGTAACTCCATTGGGAAGAGATCATATGACCTGCTACAGCAGGACAAGAAATAAGGGGAGTGGTTGTCACTGGAATACAAAGACACAGGCATGGGTATTTATGATCTGTCAGAGTTTCCCCCCACACTCCAAAGGCATGATGGCAGGTTAAATGGCTCCGGTCTAAATTGACCCTAGTTTGTGTGTATGTATGTATGTATGTATGTATGTATGTATGTATGTATGTATGTGAGGAACGGACCTTAGATTGTAAGCTTCTTGTGGGCAGAGACTAATGTGAGTCTATCTGTATGTAAAGTGCAGTGTACATTTCTGGAGCTATGTAAATGCCTATAATAAATAAATAAAGAGAAAATAAATAATAATGCCTGCTTTGTAATGGTGAGTCACTGTTTGTGCTTTGTAATGCACCATTCTCCATCATTGGTTAAGTCTGAAAAAAAGGAAAATCAACCTATATTTATCATACTCAGACTACGAAAAAATTAAGACTAAAAGGCTGCACTGTTCATTAGAGTCTTAGATTCCCCCCTGGGAATATGAAGTATATATAAGAGGTATTCGGCTTTTCATTGTGATTGGAGATTATTGCTACTGTTAACCATAAAATGCTGAAATTAAATGCTGGCTTTAAAAGAAAAGAACACTTACATGTTCCTAACTGTTGACAGCCCCGTTCCTACAATCTCATGGAGGAAAGTCAATGGGTTCATTCCGAGTAAAGCACGGCTAAGAAAATCGCAGGCAGTTCTGGAGATCCCAAATGTTCAGCTGGAAGATGCAGGGGCATATGAATGTAAAGCTGAAAACTCTAGGGGGAAAAATGCCTTCCGGGGACAACTGCAAGTGTATAGTAAGTGCAGCTTCCTGGAAATTCAATGTTTTCACAGTGATGCTTTACAAAATGTTACAGAATTTCCATGTAGAATGTTAATAATAGACCTAAAGTGTATGCAAACCCAGAACCTATTTTTCTGTAATTTGGCACCATGCTTTACTCTTTACAGTTATCTTATCCATCTTATCCATCTTATCTTTGCACAGTTTCTTTTCTGGAGATCTTTCCAGCAATATTGTTTCCTGTTTCAATTGGACAACCCAAAGCTGTTGGCTTCAAATTAGCAAAAGAGTTTTTAGGCTACTGTGTACACTCAGCTGGCCATTGGGCTGCTTTTCTGGTCTGCAGTAGGCATGTCCGGACTTGATGAGCAGCCCAATGGCCAGCTAAAGGAGTGCACACACCAGGCTGAAAACACTGTTGCTAACAGCATTGCCAGCTCGATGTGTGCACTTCTTCAGTTGGCTGCTAGGCTGCCTATCAGTTCTGCACATGCCCCCGGCAGACTTAAAAGGTAGCCCAACGACCAACTAAGGAAGTGCACATGGCTTTGTGGCAACTCTTTTGCTGATGGTAAGTTGTTAGTAGAGTGTCTGCACTCCTCCAGTTGGCCACTGGGCCGCCTATCACATCAGCATATTTTTCCTGCACTTACTGAAAATTGCCACTGCCACGAGAGCACTCATTATTAAAATGTTAGGGTTTTCAAGGATAACAAAAGCCTAAATTTAACAGTAAACATATCTTTATTAGTTACCATTTCAAAAGTTTTTAACATCTTCATATTGATGTAACACACATATGCATCAGCATGGTGGACAAGGTTTAGGGTGCATTCACACCAGAATTGGAACCAAAATGGAGGTATGTTTACTTGAGTTTGCATAGTTAGTTAACATCCATTGCGTTACGTTGTGGTTTTTTTTCTTTGATTTATATACTAAGCTATATAAGGTGTTGGTTCTGCCTTCTGTTGACATGCATTAGCAGTTTACACCAGTCTGTAGCATTGCTCTGGAGTAGCCTGCTCTACTTTTTTTTTCAGCAGAGAGCAGCATAACGCAAAGGGCTTGTGTTAACTGCTCCCATTCACACCCATTCATTTTCAGATGCCCTTGTATTGGAATCCGTTAAAAAATGGGTGCTAATGGATCTGGTGTGAATGGGGGCTCAATGCTGGCTTATAGGAATGTATGTGTACAGCCAACCCACTGTTCTGTGCTTAGAGGTCTCTTACCCATGTGCTTCCAGCAGAGTGACCAAGCTCTTGCCAACAGCTCCCGGTCATCATTTACTTTGGGAGGCAGTATGATGTTCTGCCCATTATGTGACCAATAACAGTTATTGATCACATGATGATCATCTTCACCTCCCATCGCTCAGAGCCCTCTAAAGGTGATTTGGTGATTTGGGTGAAGGTTCACTTTAATAGTTATAGGTTAATAGTGTGGCCAGAGATGTTGGTTTAGAAGCATTTCTAAAATCGCTACTTACACAGCACTTCATGCCTCCCAATCACCAGTCTCATAAACTGCTAGCTCTACTATGACACAAAGCCAAAGGAGGACATGGGAAAATGAGGAAAGCTAAAGGGCCTTGAGTTTCCCTAGAAAAGTGAGTGACGCAGAAGTCAACCAATAGTATATGAGGAAAAAGAAAAGTTGGGAAAACATGTTAATATTGTCAAAGCTGCTGTATACACTACTAAGGTGTTGTAGTGACACTTGGTCCATTGTCAAGCAACTGTACCTTCTATTCTGTCTGACGCAACAACAATGGAGGGAACATTGCGTGTTCCTAAATAGAAAGAAATCTATATTGTGACTCGGTACAGATGAGTATCCTGCAAAGCATTTCCTTTGCTTTGCGTTCTGTTACGTTTCAGTAAACTTGAACTGCAGGATTTGCAGTTACAATACTTCCCACTGTGTAACTGACATCATTAAGGGTGACAGCTCGGGAATCCCCTAAGATCGCCTATCCTGGGAATCATGGACACAGACAATGTAAATCTACTACTGATGGTTTTCTCCCCCCACGCACCTGGAAAATTAACCTTTAAGGTGACAATGACAATTCTAGTTCACATTGCAGCAGGCAGGAAGAGGTCCTTTTTACGTGTAAACAAATAAAAAAGTTAACTCATAGATACCTGCTGTCCTTAAAGAAGATGCAAACCTTAACTAAAGAACATTAAGCTTGCTTCTTCTCCTCCACTCCTTGTCTCCATAACATGAAAAGAGGTTATGTAGTGCAGCAGGGGGGAACCTAGGCATGGATGACAACAATGCATGCGATTTCAGTGGAGCAGAGGCAGGGTTGTCAACCCACTACTGTAAGTTAGGAACTCGTTGAACTTCTGACAATATCAAAAGGGTTTTTTGTGCTTGCAGTGTTTTTAAAGAGACAAATGTGCATGCATTCTAAAATGGGAATTTGGGTAAATGTGCATACATTACAAAGATGTACTACTTTTTCTTTGTCTTGCCCAGACCTACACTTTAAATTGTATGCAAACCTCAGATCTGTTTTTCAGTATGTTTGGAGTCATGTTTTACTGTATACAGTTTTCTTAAGCGAAAACATATTTTATAGTCAGTTGCAAAGCTTCTTACCTAAAGATTTGTTAGGATAAAGTGTATGTATATGTGCTTTAAAGTGTATGGTAAACCCACTCACTAAAATACCATATAAGCTTTAACATAATCATGTGATTTCAAAAGACATTTTCTATCATTCTAAATTTACAAAATTCTTTAAAATAATACCTGGTGATCCTGCCATGAAGTTACTTGTTCAAGCACTTCCTGTTGCAGGGTGACAGTGCTAAGCGCCTACCTTGCGAATTGCAGCGGCATTGTACCACTGCCATGTGTGCTTTTTTGGTTGAACTTTGGACTGCCTATTATGTCTATTAGGTAGGCAGCCCAATGGGCAACTGAAGGACCTCGGAGGAGAGGCTGACCAGTGCTGTCACTTGCAGGATCTCCAGGTAAGAAACTTTGCAACAGTTTCCCCCAAAAAACAATTTGCCTAAACCTAATGTTTAGTTATATTTTGTTGAAGATACAGCACATACAGGGACATAATATACCTCTAACAAAATGCATTCTACTTCCTGCTGGGGACTGTAAAAATAAAATCGCTCTTCAGTGGTGCCGAATCCTCCTCACAGCAGTGCACTTCTGGCACTGCAAGGGTTAATGTCTCGTCTGTAACGAGGAAGGATCAGCATCACTCAATTTCCCCTTTCGCCCCCCTTGCCCATTCACATTTATATTGTAAAGCGCTGTGCAAACTATTGGCGCTATATAAATCCTGTATAATAATTCACAAATCTCCTAATATTAGGCATACTGTGAATGGACAAGGGGCAAATGAATTACAAGATCACCTCCTCTATTCACAGAAAGCCTTGCATTCTGTGAAAATAATACTACTAGTTTTGTAAATGGGCAATGGGGGTAGAAGGAAAGCGTAAGCAGCACTGATTATTTACTGTTACAGAAAAAGCAGTTAACCAATGGGGTGCCGGAAGTTTACTGCTGTGAGGAGGATCCGGCATCACTGAAGGAAGGAGTTTTACACTAACCAGCGGTTAGTGGGACAAGCTTAATTATGCTGTATCACAAAAAAACTGTTTAATTAAACTTCAGCTTTATGAAAATTACATAAAGTTGAAGCATGATGCCAGACGTACTGAAAACAGATTTAAAGTTTTCATACACTGTAAATCATCGCTGGGTTATTCCCCCTCTACCCATCCCATAGCAGTTTGTTCTGTATTTTGTGATAACAGTTCCACTTTAAATGGGGTTTGCAAACAATATGGCCATGGTCAGTCTGCATCTGCACTAGCCATGCTTTTTAGGCAGTCCTGACATTGCACTGAAATTCATTGTGGCTGTTTAGTAGAAGCCAGCTGTATAAATGTATAAGGGTAGACACATAAGGATTACATACCTTTGGGGACAAGATCTCCAGGATAGACAGGGTCACTGATCACTTCCACTTAAGACTTACATAATTTAGAAGAGTGAATTAAAATACCAATGGAAATATTAACACACAAGGGCGTCCCTGTACGCAAGACCTTTAAATGAAGTACAGTGCCTTCTGGATGTGTGGCTAAGAACATAAAACAAAAGCCAAGCTTAGCCGGGGACTGAGAGTGTGACTCCTTTATTATTCAGCAAGATTGATGCACGGCATTGCATCTGGAGCAGATGATAGACTGCAAATAAGCTCAGGGTCAGTTAGGTGAGTGAAGGGCATATACCACGGTCATCGTAACAATAAATTTCCATACGGATTACTGTTGGCCTACCACCACTCTTGTATTGTTTAAAATGTACTTTAAGGGGAACGCCACTGATTTTTTTTTAATCTTATTTTTGTATGTGAAGGGGTTAGAGGCTCTGTTAGATTTTGAATCATTTATTTATTAATTCATTTATATTTTTATAGCACCTTTCTCACTGGGGACAAAAGCACTTATCAGATGTGTGTTGAGGCAGCCACCTTGGACACGCTCAGTAGAGCATCATACTAGGGTCAATTTTTAGACAGGAGCTATTGAATTTACCAGCATGTCATTGAAGTGTGGGAGGAAACTGGAGTTCTTGGAGGAAGCCCGTGCAAGCACAGGGAGGACATGCAAACTCCATGCCGATAGTGTTGATAGGTATGCTATCTGTGTTTCCTTTGTCTGGATTTCTCCAGAACAAAGAGATCTCTCTGTGAGAAGGACAGCAATAAAAACCTGAGAATATTACAAACTATTCTATTCTACAAGAAAAAAAATGAAAATTGAAAATGTTTATCTTCTATCCTAGTGACCACAGCTACTAGGGTAGGTAGTAAGTGTATATGTCCCCACATGGCAAAATTGTATAGCCAGAGCCATCTCTATAATGAGGCAGCCTAAATTTGTTGCCTCGGGTCACATGGGGTGGGGGGGGGCAGCAGGCATGGTGGCAGAGTGTGCATGCCACCCCCTTTCGAGGCAGAGATTCCCAGGTTGGTAAGAACCAGGCAGGGAGATGTGTAAGGGCCATACACACATCTACACCCAGCTCTTAGCAACCTAGAATGCTCTGGTTGGTGTCCCGCCCAGATTTTGGCAACCAGTGACGTCACCGGTTGCCAGGATCTGGGCAGCATGCCGGACAGAGCGTTCCAGGTTGCTAAGAACCTGCAGAAGCCCAGAATTCAGTTTTAATTGCAATGAAAGATTTCATATTTGTGAAGTTGCGAATGGGAAACATATAGGGCAACACACTTCTGCCAACAAGTTTTACTAAGAAAGTAGGTTAGGTCACCAACATGTCCTGATTTTTGCAGAAATGAAAACTCAGAATTTTGCTCTTCCTTACTCTCCACTCAGTATACATTGCCTAATTGGTTACCATGAGGCACACTGGCTTAGTGGTTAGTAGACATGTGCAATTCGTTTCGTTCCGAATCGAAATTCGGACGAATTTTCGGAGATTCGGATGCATCCGAATTCCGAAATACAGCTAAAATGAATGCAAACGAATCCGAATTCCCGATTTCCAGAAATTCGTTAGCGGTGGTCCGGTCAAAATTTTGTTTATTGGACGAAATTTCGTTAGCAGCAAAGTGACATTA